GGTACCAGGGACACTCTACCACTGAGCTACGTCCCCAGCCCTTTTTATTTTTGGATTCCGCTGGGAAGGAATTCCCTCGGGCGAATTCCTGTGACGTCACCTCTCCGATATGGCGGGGGCCCCAAACTCCTTGCCGGAGTTATTTTTGGAGGACAGGGTCTCACTAAGTTGCTCAGGGCCTTACTAAAATGCTGAGGCTGGTCTTGAGCCTACCATTCTCCTGCCTTAGCCTCCCAGGTCCCTGGGATTACAGGTATGTGCCACTATGCCAGGCTTCAAGCATTACTTTTATAAAAAGAAGGATGACTATTAATTGTGCTAACTAAAGCACTCCGTTTTTAAAATATTAAAAAGTATTATTAAATTTCTTTCTGGCTTGTGCTACAATGACTATGCTCTGGGTAAAACAGATTATCTGAAGGCAGGTAATACAATTCAATGGGTAAAATTATACTAGAAGAAACTACTTTGGGAATAAATAAGTGTAGAGGTCATTTATCACTCCCCTTTTCTTTCAGTAACCCAGGGGCGTTCCATCACTGAATTACATCCTTGGCCCTTTTCATTCCTTTTTTTGAGATAAGGTTTCACAAAATTGCTGAGCCTGGTCTTGAACTTGCAATCCTCCTGTCTTAGCCTTCCAAGTAGCTGGAATAACAAGTGTGTGCCATTGAGCCCAGCCCCAATTTGTTCTTTAGATAAGTGTTAATTTTAGAAATCCAACCTTTTAATCCCAGAATCTGGTTTTATTAACATTGAAATTATCACATAGCCTTGTAAAAAGAATCTGCATTAATATTTGTACCTCTTTCATCTTGGCATCTAGGCACTCCTTGCCTTTGCCGATTTGAAGCATTAACAATTTCATCCTTTCTACGTGACTGTACAATGTGAATGGATTCCAAGTGTCTATCAAGAGCAGTAGAGATATTGGCATGAAGGGGAGAGCTTCGAAGACGTTCCATTTTGCCTAGTAAAGTCACAACCTGAGGGAGACATTTTAAATTTTGATAAGGCATGTAACCACTTGACCTGACCAACTTAAATAAAACAAATCTTCATCGGGAGGCTGAGACACGAGAATCACAAGTTCAAAGCCAGCCTCAGCAACAGCAAGGCACTAAGCAACTCAGTGAGACCCTGTCTCTAAATAAAATACAAAATAGAGCTGGGGATGTGGCTCAGTGGTTGAGTGACCCCTGAGTTCAATCCCTGGTACCCCCCTCCCCCCAAAAAAAAAAACTTCAGTGAAGCATAATAGAGGTAAGAGCAAAAAAAGTCATTCAATAAATAAATGAATGTTTACTGTATCCTAGGACCATGATGGGAGAAACAAAAAATGGAAAGGTTATACTTAGTTGTATATGTTAATTCTAAAAACTTTCGAATTTGATTACTGAGAGTCAAATATTAAAAAATGTCCAAATATAAAATCTGATACTGTTTTTGGCATATAAGACAACAGCCTGCAAATAAGAACACTAACAGCATTGTTAGAGGGTATTAAGTAAAGGAAAAGAATTTGAATTAAAAGTGGGTAGCAAAAAATACAAAGGGAGTACCAAAAAACAAAGCAAACTCCAGGGA